TCATTGGCTTCTTTTTATCTCCATGCTTTTGGCAATATGGTTGGCGGAAATGGCTTTTAGTAGCTCCCTTTCAGACCATTCTTAAAACTATTTAAATAGAGATGATTCAATGCATACCATTCTTTTCCGGGACCTTATTTGAAATTTTTCTTGTGGTCTTAGGCTAAAGGAGTCAGCTGTGACACTACATGTTCTGGCGACAGCGTTTTTATCTAACATGTCAATGGCGCTTGAGCAAATGCAGGATCTACTTCATCAGCAACAGTTGTACTTTGAGAAGTCTCAGCTGCAGTTGATCGAGTTGCTCTCACGGAACTTGAACATCCAAAATGAACCCCGGTTACACGGCAACAGGTTGACGCCATTGCAGCATCAAATAAACAATTTGTTCTTTAATTGAGTGAGTGGAGTAACCTTCGAATCGTGGTTCCAAATATGCGAAGATATTTTTCGTGTGGAATTGGCTGAATAAGATGATGCTTTGAAAGTTCGGTTGCTGTTGAGCAAACATGGTGCAGTTGAACATGAACGATTCACAAATTTGGCGTAGCCAAAGATTTCAAGAGACTTCATTTTTGATGAAATTTTGAAAACGCTAACGAAAATTTTCGGCTAGCAGTCATCGTTGTTCAGCATCCGGTATAGCTGTTTATTATCCGTCAAACGGGATACTCATGATTTCGTCACACACGCCGGAATGTTGAAAAGAGAATGTGGATGGTTCAAACTGGGGTCCATGATGGCCGACTAGTTCGAAAGCCACGTGTTTGTTTGTAGTCTTCAATCACTTACCGATGGTGGTGAATACACGCATCTTTTCCAAGTTGGAGCAGGAACCCGGTTGACATTATAGGAGATTGCGTCTGGAGGTAAGATGTTGATCAACTTGAAACATGATGTCAAAATGATTGAAAAGGCTGACCCAAGAATGGAACTACAAATTTGCCGCACAGCTGTTCAAACCACAAACCCCCGACTACATGCTGGAACTGTGGCGGATGGGATTTTGCACGATTCTGTAGCTATAAAAGCACCAGTGTCATAGGTGAAAGCGTATGGATTACAGAGAAACACCCTGTCACGCGACGCATAATTCCAGAAGAGTGCACAACTCAAGGTTTTACGCGAGCTCCTAATTCAAAAAGACGCGGTTTTGCAGATCGAAAACAAAGGCCATTCTCGCAGCCTTTGGGACAAATTTTTTATGTGAACGAAGGTATTTGACAGTAAATCTCAGTGTTTTTCCCGTATCATTACAGTTGGATACATCGTCTGATATTACGATCATTTCGCGAACAACTTGGATGAAAATCGGTAGACCTGCAGTTAAACTCACTAGGCTGTCAGCGCAAAATGCATCTGGCGAACCACTGAAGCTGGACGGAGAGATTGCTTGCGATGCGAAACTCAGCGACACACGCATTCATAGAACGATCTACCTGGTTTCCTGTGTCGATATTAACCTTATTGGAATGGATAGGATTGATAAACTGAACTTGTTCGACATACCACTAAATCGTGCGTATAAACGATTATGTGTCAGTCTGGCACACAGTTGTATCGACACATCCGGATCAAAGCTCTGCTTACCAACTTGACGCAAATTACGCTTGTGTTTTCCAACGCCAAGTTGGATTCTGCACAAAGATGCAAGCGGAAGTTACACCGCGTCCTGAAATGAAACCAGTGTTTCGACCCAGACGTCCGGCTCCATAGGCGCCGAACAAGAACTTGATCGATTACAACAAACTGGTGTGCTTGAAAGAATCGCTTTTTCTCATTGGGCTGCCATATCGTTGTGATCAGGAAACCGAATGGCATTATTCATCTGTGTGCAGATTTCTCAAACGGCTTGAATGCCGCGCTGAAACCTCATCAATATGCACTTCCGATGTCTGAAGACGTGTTTGCAGCGCTGAATGGGGGAAAATATTTTACTATGCTTGATCTAGCAGATGCTTACTTGCAACTAGTGGTTGAACCGGCGAGCAGAAAGCTTCTCACAATAAACACGCATTATGGCTTAGATCAATACAACCGCCTGTCATTTGGGATCAAGATAGCAACCGTCATTTTTCATTAAGTCATAGATACTATGCTGACTGGGGTACCAGGAGCAGCGGCCTAGCTGGACGACATCATCATAATTGGCCCAACAAAAGATGAATTGCTACAACGTCTGGATGAAGTCATACTGATAGTTAAGAATTATGGATTCCATTTGCGGCAGGATACGTGTAAGATGTGCATGAAGTCCATCAAGTTTCTGGGGTTCTTGATCGATCAAGGCGGCCGAAGACCGAATCCAGAAAACATCAAATTGATAGGCCGAATGCCTGCGCCAAAGGATCTTGGAACACTGCGATCGTTCCTGGAAATGGTGGGTCAGTACCTTGACTCTTTGAGTTACATCTATCGGTATGTCAACCCATGAATCAGTTACTAGCACAGAATGTTGAATAGAAATGGTCCAGGCAATTTCAGTGAGCGTTTAAAAAGTTAAATCACTTCTGAAATCCGACCTCCTACATACATATTACAAGCCGGTGCTTGAACTCGTCATGGCACCAGATACCTCTAGTTATGGGATTGGAGCGGTCATCTCACACCGGTTCCCTGACGGTTCCGAAAAAATGGTAGCGCACGCTGCAAGAGCACTAACAACATCCGAAAAGTACTACAGCCAAATGGAAAAGAGGCACTGGCAATCTTGGTTGGTGGTCAGAAGTTTCCTAAAATGCTTGCTATACAGACGACGCTTCACACTCGTGACAGATCACAAACCGCTACTTGCAATCTTCGGTTCGATAAGGATATCCCAGCTTATACAGCCAGTCGACTTCAACCACGGGCAACTATACTCCTGGGTGGGCCACGTGTTGCGCATGCCAGCCCATCGACTTCCACGACGTGCGTTGTTTGCTCACCGGGGATGTAGATAGAAGAAAAGGAGGGGTGACCAAGCGAGGAATGAAGGTCCTCACTTCTGTGCTGGCCTCGCTTAGAGCGTCACGGCTCCCTGGTTGGGGTCCAAAAGACGGTGAACACGTTTGGCTGCATACACTTGCTGCCATGGCAAGGAGCGGACCTCAGTGGCGTTCCTGCTATGAGTTTCTTTGTCCCTCCCCATCCCTTTTAGCCTCCCCCTCCACCTATGTTCTCATTTCTTAGCGTAACACATAATTAGTTCTTTTTGCCTAGCAGCCGGCTGGTAGCTTACCGGAACGATGCCTATGCGTTGCTGGTAGCTCTGCTGGCATGTAACTTTGTATTTATGTTCCTTTTACATTTATGTATTGCGGCACGGTAGCTGAGGTGTTTCCCACCTCTAGCTGACGTGTATAATGAATGAATGAATAATCCTGGAATATGACTTCAACATGAAATATGTGTCAACTGACGCTGTCGGGCAGGCAGGCGCTCTATCAGGACTCGTCAATAACACCAAGCGGGAACCGGAAGATGCAGTCATTGCAGCGATTACAGCGAGGCAAAGGCCAGTCACGTGTCACACGATGCCGTTAGGGACATGCCGGTAATTGTCAAGGTTCAGCACAAGACCAAATATGACGCATTGTTACCAGAACTTATGACTTATTAAAATGCGGCTGGTCAGAACGGTGTTAAAAGGCGGAACTCATTCAGTATTTTATGCAACCCGACTCCTTGTTGGGAAGTGATACAGGCTTATTTTATGCAGATCTCATCGTTGGTTATTGATCACTTAACAGGCGAGAAAAAAATAAGAAGATAGCAAGGACAACGCTTACTTTTGTGCATCTATTTTGGGTCGCCAGGATATAGAAATCCAGTTTCAATAGTAGTAGCGTTTATCAAATTTCGTGCAAGGCGTTTGGAGTGACTCATTCTCGAGTAGGGTTATGGCACTATCCCCTGTCTGTTGCGCATTAGTGCCAGCATTTGGTGGTCATGAGCTATATCACGTAGAGTAAATGTGACAGAGTATCGTCAAGGCGTTTTCTGGAAAGAGATAGGGTGGGTGTATTAATTACATGTTCCGGGACGGCGTTCCAAGGCTGTGCCACTCGAAGGGAGAAATAGTTTCTCCGACATTCCAGGCGGCTGTACTGCGTGACTAACTTAAACTGGTGACCTCTTAGCCAGGTGTTTTGACTGAGTATCAGAAGGGAATGGCATAGGTGGTTGGGTTTATCAGGATCTGGTACACAATTATGAGATCGCCCCTTAGAAGCCGATAACATCCACTGTATATTTTGAGGGTCTTCAGCCTGAGTGGGTAGGGGAGGCTGGGCAAACCTCTGACGTTCTTCGTTGCCCTACGTTGTGCAGTATCGAGCGCGGTGAGATGGTGCTTGAGCCAGGGTTGTCACGTTTGGATAGCGTATTCCGCGTGCGGCCACACGTACGCACTAAGCATTTTTAGAAAGACTGAAGGGCCAAACTACCCGAAGGCTCTGTGAAGAAGGCCGAGGTATGGTTCGCTTTCTTAACTACCTTTTCAGTCTTCCTCTAGCAACCGAGGTCATCTTGAACTATCACGCCGAGATCTCACTCGTGAGAAGTCCGCTGTAGAAGTTGTGATCCTAGGCGGTAGTTGTGTATACTCTTGTGCCGTATACTGAGAACTTTGCACATGGTGACGTTGAAAAGCAGCATGTTCTCGATGGACCATGTGTACGCATTGTCCAGGTCCTCCTGTAAAACTGTGTGATTGTACAGTGCAGCTATAGTACGCCATATCTTAGATCAACGGCAAATAGCAAACAGTTAGAAGATAGTACGATCGCGAGATCATTTATGAAAACCAAGAAGAGGCGGGGTCCAAGTACCGAGCCATGAGGCACGCCGCACTGAACTTCGATGGATTCCGACATGTTGCTTCGAACCCTCACATGCACGTGACGTTGTACGAGAAAGTCTCTTATCCAGCCCAGAACAGGATCGCCGATTCCATATTTCTGGAGTTTGTGGAGGAGAATGCGATGGTCTAGACGGTCGAATGCCCTTGAGAAATCCAATTAGGCCGCGTCGACTCCTACACCACCGTTCACAGATTCCGTCCAGTTTGCACGAGCAATCAAGAGATTAGTCGTACATGAGCCATTTCTGCGAAATCCGCGCTGTTCCGGAACGAGAATTTTGTTGTTCTCGAGGTACCCCATCAAAGCTTCAGCTGAAGTGGACTCCATAATCTTGGACATCACAGGAAGTAGTGTTATCGGGCGATAATTTGCTGGTTCAGCACGACTGCCACTTTTGTAGATGGGCGTGATGATTCCGTGCTTCCACATTGTGGGGACGTGCATCTCGTGCAGAAATCGTTGAAAGAAAATTGCTAGTAATCCTGTCAAACGCATGGCAGGAACTTTCAACGCCTTCGAGCGAATGCCGTCCGCACCCTGGGAGCTGAATTTGCGCGGAGACATCCGCCACTTCAGTACAGCTGCGGAGGTAAACGACATGTGATAATGCCCTGATGGCTGAGTAATCTGCTTAGGCATGATGTATGATGATTGCACGCTCTGAAGGTACGGCCAAATTGTTGTCCAAGAATGTTGGCCGCCTCTTGTGCGGTTTGGGCTAACCCGCATGCTGTGTGCATAGCAGGAATACCGCGCTTAACACGACACAAATTGTTTATGTGTCTGTATAGCAGTTTGGGATTGGAGCGAAACTTTTCCACTAGACCTTTGTTGGTTCTTCAGTTTATCCTCCCGGACGAGTTTGACACAGTGGTTTCTTTGTATTGTGTAGACGTCCCAGGTATAGTCGTTCGGTAGGCTATGTAGGTGTGCCATGCCAAGTCCCTTAATGCCATGCATTTACGTGTCCTACTCCTTACGAGAAGCTTCATCTTTTTCAGGCCGGTAGAGTTTGGTTTAACATGTCCTTGTCACGAGCTTGGTAAATATGTTGACGAATTCTCCGCAGGCCACCTCAGGGGTTAATTCAGCTAAGAGCGACCAGCTGGTTGCATCAATGAGGTCGGACAAGTCGTCATAGTTGGTTATGACATGATATTCCTCGGCATGCACTTTAGGATAATCCGCGTAGCACATGTAATGACACACTAGCGTAGCATGATCGCTGCGGCTCAAAGAGTATCGGTTATCACTTTCTCGACCATCAGTTCTTCATTAGTGCATATTCGGTCCAATATGGAAGGCCTGTTAGTTCCCCTGAACCTGGTGGGCGTAGTGAAATGGCCATAAAGCGGGAAGTCTGAAACCAGATCTTGCAGGTCTGCTTTGCATTGTTCTCCTGGTGTGGCCTGGGATTCTAGAGCATGTAAGTTGAAGTCGCCGGTGACCAGAATATGACTATACTTCCTCTTTATCACTTGTCTCAACGCAGCCATCAAATGGCAGTCCATCTCAGGAGTAGACAATGGTGGGCGGTAAACAACAACCAATAGGCCAAGATCGTTCACTCTCAGCCGGGAGTTACACCCACTGGAGTCAGGTACGTCGGTTTCCGAATCGTTTATGAGTTCGCATAGCATGTTGTTACGAAATTAGAGGGCTACCCCACTACCTTTGCTGGCTCGATCCTTCCGGACAACGGACATGCCTATTAGGGCGATTTCAGCATCCGTTATCTCGCAGCGCAACCACGTTTTGGTGACAGCGATGAGGTCGCAAGCTGCTGACGCGTGTCAGTCTTAATTCAGCTAACTTGCTGAGTAGACCTTAGGCATTTGTGTACATGCATGAGGGCTTCTCCAAGACCAAAGTGTGTTAGCTTGGATGGATGATGCAAGCGAGTTTACGCCGACCAATAAAGGGTCCGCAACTAATACTTTTTGGACGGGTTGAAGACTCTCGAGACGAATTTGGTATACAGTCAAGTATCAGATGCCTCGGATCCCCGTGTTTGTTAGTGCTGTGCCCTATCCCTCCGGATATTATGGCTACTCTTGAAACCGTCCCCAAGTCGGGTCCTTCAGTTGACATTTTCATTAAGAGTTGTGCCTCTACTGAATTGCCATTAGAAGGTGTTAGTGATCCTGCTGCTTTCAGACGAATTTCTATGGGCAATCTGCAACGAAATTTAGTTCAGTTCTTTAGTAGGGTTTGTGCCATTAGTTCTGATTTTAACACAAGTCTTAACAGCCTGGGACCGCACCTTTTATAGTTTGGTGATATAGGGATCCTTGTCAACGAGGTGGCGACGATATTTTCGAGAGAAAGAGCGTCACGAATGTAGTGACATTGCTCGCTCTCCTGCATCTGAGCTTCGTCGGAACAGGAATCTGTAAGCTCACGAACACCGTGAGCAATCACGGTGTTCTTATCTTGACATTTTCTGTACGTCTATCTGTTAGCGAGATCCGCTGAACGTCCTTTCCACGTGATTTCAGGTAGTATGCGCGCTGTATCTGAGTCGTTGCGGAGACGATTCGCAGACAGCAGAACGGCCTCAGTCTCGTCTGCCGAGTTTAGTGTTACCCGAACTAACCGGGGTTCGCCGTAGTGCAACACATTTGTTTGACGCGAGATTATTTTTAATGTTGTGGGATTAGCATAGACACCGATCGACGTACAAATGGAGTCCAACTGATTTCGACCGTCCGTCAACCTTCTCTTAATTGTATTGGATTTGGATTCGGGGACATTCGTGCACACAAGGTTTAGGACACCATGGTTGGACTTAGTGGCTCTTGGTTTTTGGGTTTGGTGCTTTAGTATCCGGTGTTTTTGGTGAATTTGTGAACGGCACTGATAGGTGCGATCCGTGCTGCGACAGTTTAGTTTTCTCTATTCCAGGCACCAAGGTTACCGGTGTTCTTTCCGGTGTTTGATTGGCGTCAACCGATGCCTACGTTGTCGGGTTGTTCACTACGGCTAGTTGACTGTAGGTTATGGCCTCGTGTGTTGTGAACAGATAAGTAGTTACAGCACACTGTACAGAAGTTGAGGCAGGCGCGCTGCAGGCAATGTTTTTACTATAGGAAGGAGAGAGAATCTTGGTACTGCTGGAGGCTGAGTCGTTGGGGTTAGGTTGGGATGCCTGGCTCTCTTCTTCGGCCTGACTAGGGAATTCGGGATGTTATTTTCACTCACAAGTGCAGGTCCGTTTCCTTCCATGGGAGTAACTCTGGCTCCCACCAATTGCTCGGCTGCTTCACTTGGTCTTTCACACCTCTTCAGTAGCACAGCTAGACGGCTAACAAACAGGATAGAATTGCATACTTGGCAGAATCAAAACGCCTCTGCGGTGTTTGTTTTTGTTGACCTCGTCCCAAGGCAGTTAGTGTAATAGGATTTCAAACACTTGATACACACCAGACCATTTCTTACCACTTTAGTACATGATTCGTATTTGCTCTTCGTACGAGACATGTTCACAGTAAGCGTGCTGTTCTAAGGAGTAGCAAGCGGACAGAGATACTGAAGCACCGTGTTTGATTCCGCTTTACTTATCGTTGCGTTGCTATCGGCGCTGGTTTGAGATCAGCGGGGTCAGGCGTGTCGCGGCCAGATGAGTCACACGTTCCTTAGGGTAGATAGGCGAAGCGCGTGCTATCGATCCAGCCGGTAAGTGGATAAGCAGCGATGCAGCGTAGGATTGAGTTAAATCAAGATGACCTGAAAAATACTGTCTAATAACGACAGTGGCTGTTCCAAGGGAGGATCAAATTAACGACTATAGTTTTGTACAGCGACTTGAAGGAATGGTAGTACGCTGATCAGGTGACTTTCAAAAAAATTTATTTAAAATAAGGCCACAAGTGTTCTTGTGCGACGAGAGGAAATATAACTCCTCCGATAAGGTTCAAATACGGTTGACTTCGAAGTTGCAAGAGCACAGTTTGCTGGTGATCCGTGAATGATAGATCCAATAGATGAACAGTGTTAGGAGGAGCCCGCGAATCCAAAACGAATGATAGCACGTAGGTCAATATGAGAATAAATCGGAAGGTTTAAAGGCGAATAACGCAGGAAGACACATTTTAGCGACCGCTCGCTCTTCATCAACGTACGACATTCGCGTTGGTGAGCAGGTATCGATTGACCACGCCAAGCTACGAGAAGGAAACTGTGACATATGATACCAATGGGCTAGTTCTTAGAGCACTGTTGGATAATGCGGGGGCGAACACTTTTGCCAGATGACGCACGCAGCCTTACAACGTCCAGCAAATAGAACCCGGGGGTCAAAAGGAGGAAGACGATATTTTCAGCCACTCCGAGTGGACCCACGACGGAAATGCTATACTCTCCCTAGCCAAACTCATTTCTTTGTGAAGAGGAAGTGTTAGGGCGACTCGTATTGCACATACATATTTTGGGAAACAATCATAGACACCAATTTGTTTCCTTCAACTATCTACGTTGGTGATATTTGTTTAAACACATAATTCCGCTTATTTTATTGGCTGCTTGCGGTCATTGCTTTTGCTCTCGGATCACAATATCACTTGGCTGCTAACTCTCTGTCTTTGCGTTCATGCATGGCTCTTATTTGTTCCTTTGTTGATCACTCTTCATTGGCTTCGTTTTGTTTGCATACTTTTAGCAATATGGTTGGCTGAAATGGATTTTAGTAGCTCGCCTTTAGACCATAATTAAAACTATTTAAACAGAGATGATTCAATGCATGCCATTTTCTCCCGGCACGGATTTGGAGTTATTTTTACGGTCGTAGCGTGAAAGAGTCAGCTGAGACACAACAAATCTGTGTGCTCTGTCGGGGAAGCAAACTTACGTTCGTTACCTCTGAGTAGGTCAGCCAGAGTCTACGTGATTTGAGCGCAGTGCGTGATGAGGCGTTGGTAGTAGTTGACTAGATCAAAAAGTCGACTTAGGTGCCTAAGTGAAGTCGTGGCTGGGTATTAATTGTTGGAAGGGTCCTTGTCCGCAACTACCTCGATACCTGAAGATAAAACTAGATGTCCCAAGGATTCTACCGTGGACTTAACAAGTTTGCAATTAGTCGGATTAACGTTGACTCAGTGTTGGGTCAACTGCTAAAAGAGACTGAAGATGAGCTATATGCTCATCGTCTCACGAACTGACAATTTGCATGTCGTCAAGGTGTGGTTAGGCAAATTCTAGGCCACAGGTGACATCATGGCTAAAGCGCTGAACAGTTTGTGCCGTATTGCACACTCCGAAAGGCATTCTTAAAAGTTTGAACAAGCCGAAGGGAGTAATGATGGCTGTTTTAGGTATATTTTTCCACAGGTTTTTGGTGGTAGGCTCGAATAAATCGATTTTGCTGAAGACCTTCTTACCTGCGAGGCATGCAGCATGTTCCTGAATATGTGGGACGGAGTATCTGTCGGGGACCGTAAGTTTGTTTAAGGCCCGGTATTCTCCGCAAGGTCACCAATCGTCAGGTTTCTTTGGGACCATCTGGATTGGAGACAACCAAGTGCTATCCGAAGAGCCGATTATGTCAAGTTCGATCATGTGTTCAAACTCCGCCTTAGGTTGAATTTCCGTGGCGAAAGTCGGCG